CAGTTAATATTTCACAGGATTCAACAGATTCTAGTAGTTTTTCACTTCCTCGAATTATTGAATAGCCACTAACAGTCGATGTTTCACGGTTTTCAAGCTTGTTACTTTCTCCGTCTATGGGATCGGCATTGTCATTAGACTTTTCGCGGGCTTCAATAGAATCTAGCGGATCGTCGTTTTCCATGACAGTTGGTATTGATGTTTCACAAATTTCAACAGATACTAGTAGCTTTTCACTTTTTGAATCGCCTTTACCAGGTGACATTTTACCAATCTCATCATCGTACAAAAGAGTTTGCGACTTTAATTGACAATCAACTTTATCAGATACGTTATTATGGTCCCCAATAAACTTCGTCTCGCGATTATCATTTGATGTTTCGCAAATTGTAGGTTCACAACCACACTTAGGGTCCACATTATTATTTTGATTCGAATCACAATCGTTACGTTGACAATCTGTTAAAACACGGCATGTTTCTATCGAGGATAATGAATCACTTGTACCAGTAGCGACTTGCTGAGCACTGTCAGTGCCTTTATCTACAAGTCCTTGATTTTCCGAAACTTGAAAATATGTAGAAACTTCTATTCCATCGTAATTAGTTTCGCCTTCCAGAAGATCTTTTCCACTTGTATACGCTTCAGTCCCTGACGGATGCGTTTCGCATCCTAAAGATCGAACTGCCTCATTCGATGCATTAACGTGATTGACACTGTCAATCATAACGTCACCACGACCGGGAAGAACATAATCTKTTTCAAACGTTTGACCAACTTCATCATTTTCTGAGTTACTTGCGATATTTGATGTGAGCTCATGGTCCTCAGTTTCTTTGCTGTGAGAGTCCAAATCCCTTGGATTACTATTCTTTGATCCTTTGACTTGATCTATAACTTCAATCTCTCTTTCTACAATCGAAACAAGCTCTGGATGAGCGCTTTCCAGTACAGCGCCTTCCGAAACATCTTCATCTAAATTCGACCTTCTACTGTYTTCCGTTCTTTTGGAATATTCCAAAGAGCTATCATTCGTCGCGTATCCGTTGTCCGGACGAATTTCTTCRTCTGCCGCCTGCAAAACAGACTTAACTCGATCAAGAAGRGGTCCCTCTGAGGTCCGAGTTGAAGGATCGTCTAGCAAAACGTTACGAACTCGATCGAGAAGTGGACTACTTCCGCTTGATGGTGAAGGGTTTATGGGGGTGTTGTTTGGAGGAACTATAGGCTGGTCAAATAAGTCTGTGTCATTACGTAAAGCATCTTGATCAATCTCATCCAAGATCTATAGAAAATGAAAGAAAGATTAAAAACGCAAAGCGATTTGGAAAAAACGACATGAAAAAAACGAACGAATTCATTCCCGTCTTTAAATCTCCCGCGTAACTATTTTAATACGCCCGCGATAAATCCTTTGTTAATGACGCGTGATCAAAAACGGATGCGTAGGTGACTAAATTTTACTTACGCTTCATTGTTTTATTATATACTTACTTCTCGATCCACGTTTGCAGCGAAAAATGGCAAACTCTTGTCGATTGTGACTGCCCTTTTCAGYGACTTGCGCCTAAAATATAAATAAACATCTATCGTCAATGATCGACTCATTCCAAGAAATGCACCCTTTCCGTAAAGTTCCGTACTTTTTTTGATATGCTACCAGGAAGACCGTGAAAACCCGACGCATGCGTTAGCCAATCAGAGTGGCCTCTGCCTGAGCATACCGGACGCCAAAAAAAATATCAAACCAAATAAGGGAATAACCGATATAAATACCTGTCAAATGCACGCACAGCCTTAGCAATCTCCTGAAGCYTCTCAACCTCTCCGTGCTCCAAATGCTCAAATATCTTGCTTAGCTTTGTTTGTGGTTGCTCGATTGTCGTGTCACAAATACTACTCGCTGTAAGAGATCTTGTTCGAGGCTTTTCTTCCATTTCTACGGTCTTTGTGGCGTTTGAGTAACTAACACGAACACTTGAGGTCGAGGCTTGTTGGTGAGTAGGTTTTGGAGGCGTTCCTGATGACTCAACTGGATTTGGTAATGAAACGTCATGTTTTACATTCGAATTCATTGACAGACCTGAAGACAAAGATAAAAACATTTAGTTGTTTTTTCTCTCTACGTTTGAATAAAGCTGGATCGACTTAAATGTTCGCATTGAAACACCTTCACACATCAGGGATAGAGTCAATAAACACCAAATCTCCCTAAATTTCTTGTAATCAAGGACTTAGGAAACTATTATCTACATCTACATTTATTTAGTCGGTAAAATCTTTCGATATCACACCAACTATTATACATTGATTATAAAAACGTTTAACGTATATTGATCGTTTTCAACCATTCCCATGAGGTTCAAAAGATTAAAGACCGGCGGCCATGTCGGAGGAATAACCACTAGATACTAATGAGAAACCTGAATCCTTTGTTGAAATTCCTCCAAGATGGCCGCTATGACTTAACTTGAAAACGAAGAATTATAGCCAAGCCTTAAGGTGGAAAAGAGCCATACAAACCAAAGGCCGTTTGTACTTAGGGTGAATGGCGCTAACCACCGGACAAATCCTCGCCCAGTTGATAAAATACATACAAAACCACGTGGTCAATTTTAGCCACCCTTGATACAGCGGGCCCCAGTTTTAAAAAGTTTTACCAGCCCAAGTTTTTCTTCTTGTTAGTAGTGATTCTTTGGTGATTTTGACGCTTTGTTGAAAGACTTTAACGACATCATCATGCTGACAACAAATACGTTCGAAAAATTCTTACTTTTTTTTCAAGAAAACTCACTTTTTAAATTAGAAATCACTGGAGTCTATACATGTTGGGATTCCTGTGTTGCGACAGATTGAATGGGGGACTAGATGTGATGATCTGATTGGATAATTGAGTCTTAAATGACGTCATCGACTAACCTTAGCGAACTGCATTGGCGTGAGGTGCACTTTGTTACGTATAYTTGCGCATGCTCCATGCTCTAGTAGAACGCGCACCAAGTCACAATAGTTCCACCTAAAAACAAAACAAATTGTCATTTTAGGTCAAATCTACGAGTATCTGGATATCATTCGCAACGTTTCCTTAAAGATTTGCGCGTCTATGCGTTTCCGGAGTCAAATACATATATGTCCGGATTTTAACATGTCGGCCATTATAATTTGTCGTAGACCCCTCTCCTTGAAGATAAGGGATCAAAAACACAGGTAGCCCGCGCGAATCCTATACAATTGTTTGATATAAAATCGCATGCTTACATCTGCAAGGAAACGTTTGCAATTTCTTCTGGTTCGAGTGGGTTGGACCTACTTACGGATACTAGCGACCCTTAAGGGATTGGGGAGGGACAAAGGGAGTAGGCTATGCTGGATATATGTACATAGAGAGCTCTTAGAAGACTTTCAGTGTCAATTCCGAAGTTACGAGAAGTAAAGCGACAACAAATGATGACTACGTATAGAAGCGTTTTCATTTGACCGTGAAATGGAAATGGCTATTTAGCTAGTGTTTTTTGAACAAAAGAAAACAACAGATTCACAACTGCTGATCTCACTAATCTTTTATGGTCAATATCATAGTTAATAGATCTCCCTCTATTAACTATGGTCAAATGAAAAGGACTCTAGACCTAGTGAGTGTACTGTTGAGTGATCACTGCATACCTTGATGCTTCATGTAGAGGAGTATTACCACGATCATTAGGCACATCGACGGAAACATTGCGCTGAAAGGA